CCATCTCCCCTCTACCTCTCTCCCCTCCCACTCTCTCCCCCTTCCCCCTCCCCTCTCCCATTCACCTCGTCCTCTCTCCCTCTCTCACCTCCCCTCTCCCTCACTCACCTCCCCTCTCCCTCTCCCTCCTCCCTTCTCCCTCTCCATCCCTCACCTCCCCTGTCCCTCACTCACCTCCCCTTTCCCTCTCCCTCGCTCACCCCCCCTCCCCCCCTCCACCTCTCCCTCCCTCTCTCTCTGCCTCTCCTCTCCCCCCCACCACCCCCGTCCCCCTTAACCTCCTTCCCTGCACCCAGCTCGCTGAAGTGAGAGAGTGTCACCTCTCTGCGGGAAGAGCTGTGAACTCATTCCATTATTCAGATCAGGAGAGCCTTCACATGCCAAGTACACTACATGTCCCCACAGTAAAGCTTCTTTTTCAATCACTTTGGTAGAGAGAGAGATGTTCAATCAGCTTGCCTCTGTCGTCCATCATGTTGATTTAAACCTCCTTTGCTTGTCACGGTCTGCAGTAAATTGGAAAGTGTTTATCTTCCAGTAAGTGCCTGCTGTATTCAGGTCACAGGGAAGAGATGCTGTTGAGTCAGCGAGTCTCGCTGAGTAAGAAAGATACGGTGGGAGGACACCAACAAGAATTGTTTGTTAGAGATGCGTGTGCATCATCCCTGTGACATGGATGGGGACTTCAAATTACTCTTGGGGCAGCATGCTGGCTCAGTGGTTAGCACTGCTGCCTCATAGCACCAGGGACCTGGGTTCGATTCCACCATTGGGTGACTGTGTGGAGTTTGCACATTCTCCCCGTGTCTGTGTGGGTTTCCTCTGGGTGCTTCAATTTCCTCCCATAGTCCAAAGATGTGCAGGTTAGGTGGATTGGCTATGCTAGATTACCCGTGGTGTTCAGGAATATGTAAATTAGGTGGGTTTATCAAGGGATGGGTCTGGGTGGATGCTCCGGGGGTCAGTGTGAACTTGTTGGGCCGAAGGGCCTGTTTCCACACTGTAGGAATTCTATGATTCACCTGTGGTCACTGACTGAAAGGTGTTTTGCAAGTTGCCCTGATGGATAGTGCACTGGAGCTGTCAGGAAAAGGACTTGGTTTAACCCCCAGATTCCTCATGGATAGCTCATGTCAGCTGGAAGGATGTCAGCCATTGTCGCCCACTACCCCCCGCTTTGCTATTCTGCACGGCCAGAGCTGATCATGTCCCCCATCTCTGCGTTACTGAATGCTCCTGACAAACGGAAAATGCAGCCCCGCTCTTGGGATGCAGAGTGTCCAAGATTTACCAGGACCCCACCCCACCGACACGAAGGAACTTTCCCACATCTCTGTTCACAGCGGCTGACCTGGGATCGGCCCTGGGCTTGCAGATTCTTCGGTCCGTGCCCAGTCTGTGCCATGCCAGGCCTTCTGCCAACTGCTCAACTGCCCCCCATCCCCTTCCCCGCCCCCTGCCAGCCACTGTTGGGGCAGTCCAGTGGGACTGACTGGCACAGAGGCCCTCACAAAGACTGTTCCCCCCAGGGTCACAGTGACAGCACCGTCTGGCATTTTGGAGAGAAAGGCCACTCACAGGGAGGACCAGGGGGTACCTAGCGTCACCCGGGAGGCCTGCGCTACGAATGTCCATGCTGGGCTGCATCACGGGAAACTTGGAAGAGCAAGATGTTTGCGTTCCTCAAACATGTCTGCCCACCCTGGGAGGTGTCTGATCATTCAGGAATTCAGGCATCCCTTTGGGAAGCCAGTGTGACAATGACGAGCCAAATGGCTTCCAACCCATGAGAACCATTCCGAGGTCCCAGTCAGCGGATCGGGACATTGGCTGGAATAAAGAAGAGATGGTTCTTTTGACTGAGCCCCACTGTCACCTCTGGTCGAATTCCATTCCCCGCTCCATCAACCTGATCTTCCTGTCACTCATGGGGAATGAGGTGGGAAACTTGGCTCAGCAGCAGATTGGGAGCAGTTCACCCAAGTTCTAGGCGAGAGCTAGCCTTGCCGTTGTGTTCAGCGTCAGGTCCCGGTAGTTTCTGGGAAAACCTACCGTTAACGGAAACACAGCTGACTGATCCCTCGGGAGGAGCTCTCCGAGGTAGCGAGCTCAGCTTCCTCGCCATCCATGGGTGGGGAACTGTACAAAACCGGGCGACTCTCTCTGCTTCCCCTCGGGATGGACAACTCAGAAAGGTTTGGAAGCTTGCAAACCAGGAATCTAACCAACCAGTACATTGTGGGTCAGACACGTCCCGAGATTTCGGCGACGTTGAGAGGTCTGGGAGTGTCCCTGGAAAATGGCAACCTCAAGGGAGGTGTTCAGCCATGATCTAGAATGCAGGGGCAAGCTAGAGGGGCTGAATAGCCTGTTCCCATGTTGAGCCCTGTCCATTGCTCGAACACAGAAATACAAGCCTTAGAGATACTGAATGACCTGCTCAGTAAATCCAGTGTCCTCTGTCTTTATCTCAGTTGCCATTGGAGGTGGCCAACTTACATACACGCACACCCACATACACAAACAGACACATGTGCACAAATAGACATGCACAGACACATGCACACGTGTACAAATACACATGCACAGACACATGCAAACATGCAGAAATACACAGCACATGTGTACACAAATACATGCACAGACACATGCACGGGTGTCCAAATACGTGCACAGACACGTGCAAATATTCACAAATACATACACACACACATGCAAACATGCAGAAATACACACACACTTGCAGAGACACATGTAGACGTACACAAATACATGCATATGTGCATAAGTACACACATGCTCGCATGCACAGACATGTGCATGTGTGCACAAAAGACGTGGACACATGCACAGGCACATGCACGTGTGCACAAATACATGTGTGTGCCGGCACACAGACACATACACATGTGCACAAATACATGCACAGACACACACGCACACACAACCACTCTCTCCTGACACTGTCCATGACTCCTGTGTATGTCAGAGCTATGGCTCACCTCCACTTGGAGACAACCAGCCCTTGTTTCAGCACCTTGCAGTGAGGTTGCTGTGAGGAGCATAAACACCAGTCACGAGGCCCTGGAAAGGCAGGAGTTTGAGCTGAGCCCTGCAGATGGGAAAACGGGAAATGCTCGCCTCAGAATGACCAGGCGGGAGTGGTGGTGGGTGGGGTTGGGGGTGGGGGGGATGTGGTGGTGGGTTGGGGGTGTTGGAATGAGTGATTGGGACAGATGAAAGCACAACACCTGGCCGTGTGGCTGGTTGTTGTTGGCGAACCCTGTGTGCAGACTCTAACCAACAGCGCCTCTGTCTCTGTCTCTGTCCCACCGCAGGTCTCCATCGATTCCAGTTCCTCCATGAACTCGGGGGTCCTGCTGGTTCGTACTGCGCGCCACTCGTCCAGCGGTGCCCCCATGCTGGCGGGAGTCTCGGAGTATGAACTGCCGGAGGACCCACGCTGGGAGTTTCCCCGAGACAAGTGAGTACGCTTCTCCACTCCCCCCAACCTCAGTCAGTCTCTTCTCTCTGTGACACTGGCCTCAATCCTGGTTTGCCAAGTGTGTGGCTTGAGGTGCCCACGTGGCTCTGGGTTGCTATGGCTGGAAGGGAAGTGGAAGTGGCATGTGGCCCAAGGTTTCCATGAACACTCGAGCTCATAGATCATTCATTGAGAACAAAAACAGGAACTGGACTGAAAACGAGATGGAACGTGACCGGTTTATTTATAACACAGCACTGCTGCCTGTTTATGAGGTTGTGGTTCAGAGCCTGGGCATGTGCCTTGAGCTGAACTGGGCGGCTCCTTCCTCTACCCAAAGACCGTCCTTTGACTTCAGGCAGAGAGCGTGCCCTGAAGGTGGTGTATCCGCAAGGCTGTTTTATTTCACTGTTCAGAGTCCTGCCATCTCCCATGGAGAGTGAGAGTGTGGATTGGGAATCAGACGGTGTGTGAGTGAGCCCATACTTCCGCTGGAGTCTGGGCCTGCCACTCTCGAACTCTACTCTCGGCTCCGTCTTCTCCAACTGTCCCAGCGTTGGTTTTAACCTCTCGCCGGGATGGGTGTCCCTCCTGCCAGCCTCTCCCCAGGGGTTGGAGCCCAGCTCAAGCAGGCCCCAATTCGATCAGCACCATCCCGCATGGGGGTGCTCACTGTGAGCTCCGACGGGGTTGGCACATTGGACACGGAGTTGGATCACAGAGTCACATTGAGAACACCACCCCACCCACCAAAGCCCTCCCCAGGCCTGGTTCATGCCCACTTCACCAGGGGCTGCTTATTCACCCCTACCCCTGCCTGCTGATGGCAACACCTTACAAGCTGCACATGGGTAGCTGAATGTGAGCTAGGCTGTGTGAGGTACACACACACACACACACACACACACTCACACGCACTCACTCACACTCACACACTCACTCACACACACACACACACTCACTCACACTCACACACTCACTCACACACACACACACACTCACACACACTCACTCACACACACTCACACACTCACACACACACACACACACACACACTCACTCACACTCACACACTCACTCACACACACACACACTCACTCACACTCACACAC